GGCTTGGCAAATAACAGTTGACTGATACATGATGCAAAAATTGGCCACGCTTCGCTTCGGACGCCTCGGTGTCTACTAATTGGGATAGAATAGCAAAGCGGGTGTTCTGCGGGGTGGTATTTAGTTTTACCTGAAGTCTACAGCTCACAAGGCATCCATAAGAACAATTTAATCTATCCACACACGCTGCAATGAATGAATGGGCTCCGGGGAAGTATAGTTGTCTGTCTAGACTATGAGGATTGGATTCCGAAAGGTATTTGAATATCAAAAAAAACTGCAACCAAGCGTCACAGAAGTACGGCCCAAGGCAACAACTTCAGTAAAGTAGGTGCTGACAGACCTCTATCATTTATTAATTCACGCCACGTAAATGAAGGTGTGACCATCAAGAGCTCGATAAAATCTCAGGGATAGTTTGGCTACTTTGACGGATTTATCGGCTTTTGTCAAGAACTTGTCATAAATCGTCTCTGCTCTGAGGCAAAACTTCACATATCTAGGCCTTACAGTGTCATGCAATTTCCCCTTGCAGGTATAAGTAACCGTTGAGTTGGGGTGGCTGTGCAAAAAAGCCGAGAGAGGAGGGCGTTCCGCAGGAGTCCTGTGCAGACACTGTCATTTGGCTCCCTGGGGTAAACGATAGGGCATGGAGAAACGAGGCCATACGTGAGGGTCAGAGCCTAGTTAGACTTAAGTAGGTAGGTGCGACAACTTTTATGATGTGGGCTTCGCCAATTTTGCGGCTGAGAATTTCCTCGTAGTCATTTTCAAACTAGGTCAGTGTGCGCGGTGTGAAAACTGTGTGTATACCTCAAAGTTTCAGTACATCCTAAAATTTCACCGTAGGTGCTAGCAACTAGGGACTCTTTATTTTATTAAATTTGCCGCATCGTTCAACGCAGCCCACGGTAAGTCTTTTTTTGTCGTGATCGATGTCACAAACCACTTAGCTTTGTTTGCATTTTTGTCTCCAAATTTCCAACTTCGACCAATATGTGACCGAGCGATTGACAATGGTACTGAGGGAATTAGCAAAATGCTTAAGCAATTTTACTGAAGTTTAATTTACTTTAGAATGAAGGTGGACAAACCACTACTGCGTCAGAGATGCCGTTTTACTAGCGTCAAAGTGTAGGACCCTAAAAATGTAGAGGCAACCAAGTCAGTCGGTCCATCTACAAACACTACAAAAATAAAAATATTTCGAACGACATCTTAGACCAGCAGAGGGAACCCTCTTGAGTGCTGGCTATCAGCATATGGAAGCGGACATTTTCAAAACAAATAAGGGACCTATTTTTGTAAAAGCAAGATTTTGTCCAAAGTGATATTAATATCAGGGTTTTGGTAGGCTACTCAAAATGTCTACACACCATTGATGATATTACAAGAACTGCAAGGAGCCGTATGCATCTGGAACCCATTCGATCAGTCATCGACTTTGGTTTTAAATTACGGGCTGTGTACGTGGAAGTTGGTTCAGTAACTGATGCAAGGGAATAGAGTCATATAATTTTCCGTATCCAAACAACTTGTGACGTCCGAACTAGGAAACTGAGTTTTCAAGTAAATGTGCAGGTCCCGATGGTTAACAAAAATCTAACTTAGGTCTAAAAAGTAAACTACCTACCAATTCTTATGAGAACATAGGTGCAGAACTATCTCCGTCGACTAATTATAAAACTACGACTAACACGATCTCAGCATCTCCTAAACCCTGAATGAGCTGCCGCTAGGACGTGCAATGTGCTTTTTCTCGAACAAAGGCTTTCCTTAAACTTCTTTTCGACAGAAACCTTTTTCATGCTACACAAATTTGGACGTGGAATGCTATTAACTGCCTTTGCCCGCCACGACAGTTCGACCGTCGTTCTCGACAATGTCCACCACAAGCTTCAGCAGGCTGAAAGCAGACGCGCTGACTACAGCTGGGTTAAAGTGAAATTAGACTCACCGGATATACCGCACTCTCTGACCACCCCCACACCTTAACCCTATATCAAGACAAAAGTTAAGAAGACCGGAGGTAGGGGAGGGCGCAGGCAATGTGCGCGAAACACACTACAAAACACGCCACAATAAAACCACCTTGCTAGGTAGGCTCCCGCGTGGGAGCGCCATAAAGGCCACATTAAGAAGGAGC